TGATAAACTGCAAAACCCGAGTATTCTTGGCAGAAGACAGGAATAGAGCTTTTTTTTTCTCCCAAAAGAGAAACAAAGGATTCCTGAAAAACCTTACATTGATTTATTTTTCCAATTTTGAATACGTTAGGAGTAGCGGAACTGCTACTGGCATGCTAGTATTACTAACAGTCAATAAATCTAAAATATTATGTGTGAATATTGGAATGAAGCCATTAAGAAGATTACAGCACACAACGCAGCAGAGGGTCCTCATGAAAAAAGGACGAGTAATTCGGGACAACTGTGACCGCTGACCTTTGAACAGTCAAGACCACTGGTCAATCTGACAAACTAATAGAGTTCACATGCATAGAAAGTCATCTAGCCTGTAAGTATAATTTAAATGTTTGAGCAAATGATTTTAAAAGGCCCGTTAAGTCTCAGGTAATTTATTAAACACTTGATTAGACACAATGCCAAACAGTAATGTTTTTCAGATTTCAACTGATAAACTTTTCTTTAGAATTAAAAGCCATCCAAAATAAGTAAGAGGCAGCAATATAAGGCTGTTAAACTACTGAAAAGTTAGCAATACAAACTTTATATAACAATACAACTGAAGTCCTCCTGGATATACAAAATTTTATCACAAGTTATTCATTGGAGGAGGAGTTTTAATATGTAAGAGAATTAATATTTTAAGAATCCATATGAATGGATTTAAAGCTTCATTGGAGTGTTCATTTTTCATCTTTCTCCACAAAATATTTCATCTATTTTCACATTAATGTTCAGTATGATGCACACATTCAAATATTCCTGTTTATTGTCCATAAAATACCTACTGAAATATTCATATCTGGCCATTCTTTTCAGTCTTAACAATTCTTAATGTCACCCAACACGGTGCCAATATTGCTGCAATATACCATCAACCTTGGTACGAGTACATGACTGCTTACACTTACTGTTTATATACAATGTCACCCTTTGTTGGTTTATAAATTTAAAACTATATAACGGTAATACGGCTGTTCACTCACAGTTTATGTTTGCGCATGTTTTTAATTACCAAATTAGCTCCACAAGAAACGCTTTCATGCTAAAGAAAGAATGAAAGGGTTCAGGACAGTGAAATATCACGTAACAAAACAAACCTTGTTCTAGTCTAGAGAAAACATTCACATTATATAGAGTGTACTTCTACTTTTTTTACCTATTTTATATGGAATGTTGCATTTTTGTAAAAGTCCCATTGTCTATTCAGCAAACAGGAAACCCTAATTAATATTAGTGCCTTGTAGGTTTCCATGCAACTGATATTGAAGGGGGGGGGGGAGGTATACTTTCATCAATTATTTGCCTGTTAAGTTCATTTCCATGCACAACAGTCTAATGTACAGACTAAAGTGAATGTCTGGGCCTGTTTGTTTCAGAATTCTAAATTATTTGAAGCTGGATCTACACTGCCATACAAGGCAGTTTAAAACTGCATTATGTGACAGTGTAGACAGGGCCAGAGTGGGACTTTGTATTGAACCTTTCCCATTTTGTGAGATTGTCAATAAGTCATTACTAAGAATGATATGTCATTATTATTAATAACAAATAACATTAATAATAATAATAATAATAATAATAATAATAAGCTTTATTTATACCCCACCATCTCCCCCAATGGGGACTCGGAGCGGCTTACATGGGGCCAAGCCCAAACAACAAATTACAATACAAAAATACAAACTGCAGTAAAATAAACAACATAACAATCTATCTATATATATAAAAATGCTCTGTGCATAATGAGTTCCTTCAAAACAAAAGAACCAATGAACGAAATCACATCTAATTTGGCAACAAAACGTCTCACAACACAAGGAGTGACCATCACTCAAAAAATTATGATTTTGTCATTTGGGAGTTGTAGTTGCTGGAATTTATAGTTCACCTATAATCAAAGAGCATTCTGAACTCCATCAACAATTGAATTAAACCAAACTTGGCACACAGAACTCCCATGACCAACAGAAAATACTGGAAGGGTTTGGTGAGCATGGACCTTGAGTTTGGGAGTTGTAGTTCACCTTCATCCAGAGAGCACTGTGGACTCAAACAATGGTGGATCTGGACCAAACTTGGCACAAGCACTCAATATGCCCAAATATGAACACAGATGGAGTTTGGGGGAAATAGACCTTGACATCTGCGAGTTGTAGTCACTGGGATCACAGTTCACCTACAATCAAAGAGCATTCTGAACCTCACCAACGACAGAATAGGGGCAAACTTCCCACTCAGATCCCCCATGACCAACAGAAAATACTTAAGGCCATCCAATCCAACTCCCTTCATCAGTACAAGAAAACTTAATCAAAGTCCTCTCGACAAAGAGTCATCCAGCCATAGATAGATATAGATAGATAGATAGATATGATTCACACACACAGAGATATAGTATCATAGATTTGAAAGGGATCCCTAAAGGACAATGATATCTTGCATGTTCCAGAGTAGGCAAACCAGACACTCTCTACATCAACACTGACAAAGAAGCAGCAAGAAATACTGTTTACCCACAAGCAGAAAGAAATTACATATATAAGAAACCAACACTTTCTCATTACTTTATTTTCCAGATCAACAGACTGGGTCACAGCAACGCGTGGCAGGGGACAGCTAGTAAAGTATAAAACATCAAAGCATATAAACAATATACACAAAACATAGAAACCAAACATAGTGACAGAGAGCAGGCCACATTTATATAAAATGATTTAAAAACTCAGGGTGAGATAAATGGGCAGATAAAGGGAGCACTCATAGAGAGACAGAGAAGTAAACAAACCTTCCTACAAGGGGGGAACGGGACTCCTGGGCCAAGAACGTTGAGGGAGCAATAGCATAAAATGTTGTCACTACTCTTCGAAAGCGCAACGGCAGAGCCTGGTCTTGAGACTCTTTTTAAAGGTATCTAAAGTAGGGGCTTTCCTAAATATACATTCAGGAAGATTACTTTCTGGATATACTTATTTAATGAAAATCAATGTAACTGTATTTTTATTTATAAAATTAGAATATAGGAATTCGGGAATTGTGCCCAGTTATGACTCTTGAGGGCTGATTCTGTGTAACTCTTTCATATATCGTGTATATAAAATGTTGTTGCCTCACATCAAACATGCCAGACACAAGGGGCGAAACCAGGATATATCCACTCTTAATAAGGGTGCAACCCAGGCAATGATAAAAATCATGTGTTGATTTTTCAGATTTGTCCATCAATTCAAATAAACCTTCCTTCTTCCTCTGGGAAGGTATACCTTTTATTGTAAGCAACTGTGGATTGTGACCTCTGGACACAATATAAAATCCCAAGCAATGTGAAATGCCCAGTGTGTGCACAGGGCACTCGGTTGATTATGGAAGTTGCTGGAGAAATCCCTGTGGATTCATAACTCTGTACGTGTTTTGAAACTACTGGGTTGTGGCTTCAGGGTATAATTAGATGATTTAATTGTTGATTTACATGGCACATATATAAATGACTATTTTCCTTAAACACAAGGGCAATACATGCATGTAAGTGCAAACGTGCACATACAACGTTTTATATATTTAATCTGATGAATGAAGGAGCTGGTAAATCAGTATTTGGGGCACAATTTAACACATTAATATTTGTTCTTTTGCGTCAATTTTTGGTTGACTATGCATCTAAAAATAAACTTTTTCCAAAGAAGTAAATACCTTTCCCAGAGGAAAGAAATGAATGCATTTATTTAAATATGTATTTACTTCTGGCCAAGCTAAATTATTTCAAAAGTACATAATAATATGTTTTTAAAAGTCTTAATATAAGGAGTTAAATGTCTGCTATAGTGCAATCAAATTGTCATGAAAGCAAAAAATAAGCTTCTTTGTCATATTGCTTTGAACTGGTACACTATTTTTAAAAGCCCGTAAACTTACAGCATTCGTTTTTGGAATAATGGGAAATCATTTCGCTCCCATTTAAGAATGTTTATTAACATCTATACATACAACAGCTTCTACTGAATTCTGCCACAAACATGCACAAAATATGATCAGTTAGAGAGCATACACACACACACCCCCGGAAATGTTGCAAGGGAAAGTGAAATGCTATTTTTTGGGTGTCTATTTAAACATGAAATGTGGAATATGTTCCATGATAAGCAGCAAGGGAATAAGATCAAAGTCCAGGAGAAACTGGCACTTACTTTATCTTCCTTTACAGACAAAAGACAGTTTTCGTCATTTTCAAAAGGATCCAATGTCTTTTATGACAAACGGGTTTGCAGTTTAATTTACAAATAGAATTATAAGTAAGTAATCTTTGCTCTGCCAGAGCAAATGACAAACAGAGTGGGATTTTCAATGCATGCAGTCCTCAGCAGGAAAGGAGAGATTAAAATAAAAATGAAATAATTTAGAGAAAACAAATAAATGTTTCAGAAAGTTGAAGGGGATCAAAGCGTGCATTTTCTGACCCCAACTGTACAAGCATTTCTTATTATATTGACCAGTGTCATCAGATCATTAATTAAAAGGAGATGTGCTGGCAGGTGGCAGAGAAGCAGAAGCCGATAATTGGCCCCCTTCTTCTTTTTGCCTTCAAAAACTCCCCCCTCTTTCTCTCTCTCGCTCTCTTTTGCAAGATATGCCACTAGGCAGACAGAAATGCCTACTTTGTAATATAATGATTAAGATGAGATGAAGAGACTCTTGCGTTTAAAGCAGCTATGCCTAATGAATGCAGCCAGATTTATAATTATGATCCTTTTTAAACAATAGGAACTATCATGCTCTACTCAAAACGTCCTCAACTGTCAAAAACAGGTAAAAAACCAAGAAAACACTCTTAAGTAGGAATTCTACAGCTGGTGGCATGGGAGGGGGAGTATTCTCTGTGTATCAGTTAGTAAAAGCAGGCAAAATGTCATTAATTCAAGCGGCTAGAAGGACAAAAACCCACGAATGAAATCTCTTGGGCTTACCACTTCACTTGGTAGGTTGCTCAGGTCATTAAATGGTGTTTCCAAAGTGTTCGTGTCAACATTTAGCATCACCACGTCCTCGAGTGATTTACTTTTCACCTTCTGCACAAGGAAACAAAATAGTGCACAAGAATCTTAATGTATTAAGTTTAGCTGGTAATTCAATGAAGTAGGACACACAAAATGGAGAGCATTTCCACAATCAGCGACTTGTCCTAAGGACCATGAAATGTATGTATGTATTTATTTATTTACTAGCCGTCCCCTGCCACACGTTGCGGTGGCCCAGTCTAGTGACCTGGAAAATAAAGTAATTAGAAAGCGTTGGTTTCTAATATATGTAATTTCTTTATGCTTGTGGGTAAACAGTATTTCTTGCTGTTTCTTTGTCAGTGTTGATGTGGAAATTGTCTGGTTTGCCTACTCAGGAACATGCAAGATATCATTGTCCCTCTTTAGGGGTCCCTTTCAAACCTATGATACTATATCTGTGTGTGTGTGAATCATATATATCTATCTATATCTATGACTGGGTGGCTTTTTGTCAAGGGGGCTTTGATTACATTTTCTTGCCCTGCTGAAGAGAGTTTGACTGGATGGCCTTAAGTATTTTCTGTTGGTCATGGGGGTTCTATATGGGAAGTTTGCCCCAATTTTGTCATTGGCGGGGTCCAGAATGCTCTTTTATTGTAGGTGAACTATAAATCCCAGTAAATACAATGCCCAAATGTCAAGGTCTATTTGCACCAAACTCCATCTGTGTTCATATTTGGGCATATGGAAAATTCGTGCCAAGTTTGGCCCAGATCCATCATTGTTTGAGTCCACGGTGCTCTCTAGGTGAACTACAACTCCCAAGCTCAAGGTCAATGCCCACCTTTCTAGTGTTTTCTGTTGGTCATGGGAGTCCTTTGTGCCACGGTTGGTTCAATTCCATTATTGGTGGAGTTCAGAATGCTCTTTAATTGTAGGTAAACTATAAATCCCAGCAACTACAACTTCCAAATTAAAAAAAAAAAATTTTTTTGAGTGATGGTGTCTCCTTGGGTTCATAGGTGTCTTGTGGCCAAATTAGGCGGCAATTCATCCAGTGGTTTTTGAGTTATGTTAATCCCACAAACTAACATTACATTTTTATTTATATAGACTATATTTATATCCCACCTTTCTCTACCCCGGAGGGGACTCAAGGTGGTTTACAAATATGCAATGACCTAACAACAATATACAGTTAAAATAACATGTACATTAAATTAAAATAAGAAATTAAGTACATTAAAACATTATAAAATATTACTATCACTATAAAATTTTGTATTTTGTCTGTTTGTTTGCTTTGTTCTGTTAGAAATGTAATATAATCGACTGGTTGCCCTGACACGATAAAATAAATAAATAAATAAATAAGTAAATAAATAAATAAATAAATACTATAAAATCACACAATCTGTATTCATAATCCAGGTCATTCCAGTAGTTATTGCACATAATTCCAGTTAATCTATTGCGCTACGGTTCTTCTCTAAAGGCTTGATCCTAGTCACGGTTTCACTCTCTTTCTGTAGGTCAGGGAGGGGGCTGATCTAATATCGCTGGGGAGAGAGTTCCATAGCCAAGGGACCACCATTGAGAAGGCTCTGTCTCTCGTTCCCACCAATCGCACCTGCGAAGGTGGTGGGACCAAGAGCAGGACCTCCCTGGACGATCTTAATCTCCAAGATGTTTACACAATGCTTAGATGATGGAAAGAAATCATTGCTGGGGAATGGACTGGTGGCTTTAAAGGAAGATGAATTTCAGACCAACAATAGTAATTTACTAAATGTATAAATGAAAATTGCCTAATCAGAGACAGAATGCCACTGGATAAAAGCTGCAAGGAAGCAACTGCTTATAGTCCTCCTGCATATGAACTAAACAACACTTGCTTGATCACTGCAGGGAACAGGATGTCGAACTAAGGGAATTATAACAATTTGGAACCATTTTAACTGCCATGACTCAATTCTATGGATTCTTGGGATTTGTAATTTGTTGTGGAAATAACTCACAAAACTACAAACTTCACAATTATGTAGCACTGAGCCATGGCAGTTAATGTGGCATCAAACTGTTATAATTCTGTAGTGTGGATACAGCCCAAAAGACATCTGGCTTGATTCAACAGGATTCTTCTTAACCCACCCACCCCCCTTCACAATACCAATGCAATATTGAGTTGTTCATAAACAAAGGGTTTATGGGCCTGTTTAACTCCAAGTGAGGTTGAGTATAATGGGTAGAATCATTCCAATGACATAAAAAAGCTCATATGATCTGAATACAGTCTGTGTCCCTAACTTGTTCACATTGGGAACAGAAAAAAACCCAGAAACAATGCTGCACTACATTACACCAAGTGTTAGACATATGGATAATAAACTAGCAACTTTCTCAAACACCATTTTAAAGCACTCTCTCTGGAGAACATGGTAGTTGGATTCAACATGTTTAGTGGAAAGGGGGAGTAAGTCCAGAGTCATTCACTTTCACTCTCCTCCTCTACAGTCTACTTAAAGGCTAAGCTTCTTAAACCAACCATTGGTCAGAAGCTGGTGCTCCTAACTAGTTCTTTTTTTCTTTCCAGTTCTACCCACATAACCACACTGAAAACCTAGATGCTACTAAAGAACCTGTAAACAGAGAAAAAAATTACAAGAATTATCGGTTCTCCCTGTTGTGGTGATGATTTCCATCCATGCTAAAGTGGCTTGAAGAATGAAGAACAGAATGAATTGGGATTGACAGAGTGGCTTCTAAGCCTTTTCAGATGGAAAGTAGAAGTAAGTAGGAGATCAGATCATCTTTTCTATGGCCCCATCTACACTAACCAAAGTTCAGCATAAAGGAGGATCATCCCCATGGCAGTTAACTGGCATGCAGGGTTGATTCAGGATAATACTGGACAATGCATTGCCCTTCATAACTCTAAATTACTCTAATTTATGAATTTTACCACTGAATCTGAACTTTCCCCTGCCGTAGGGCCTGTGGAAACAGTTGGGCCAGTTTCCAAACAGAACTGGACACAACTGTTCCAACTGTCATCCAGTGTTTTCCAGGCTTGAGTGTCTCAGGACATGGGATAGCAGTCCCTTTGCCCCCACTCTCCTCTAGCCATGACCCATGTTCACCATCACATGCCCTGATGTTAGCCAGAATGACAAGGTGCATAGAAAAGGGAGAGAGCAGTGGGGACTCCCTCCCACCTCCCCAGTAGCTGGCAGAGTGTCTACTGGGACTGTACTCAGGAACGATCTGGCACTACACATGCCAGATTAGCCCTGAGTTATGTGTCTGTGAAGATCTGCCCTATGAACACATGAAATGGGATATCAGACTGACCTCCATGAGGCTGAAGTGAACTCCAATCAAGTATGGCATTGGTGCACTGAAATAAAAGATACATATATAATAAATTACATTACATGTAATAAAAACAATTAATTGTTAGAAAACGTAAATACAACATTTTTACAATTTAATCCTATTTGTCATCTGTGCCATGCCACAAGAACATGGCAATTCCAGCTCAAAATGAAGTCTATGTTCTTAACTTAGATAGCATTAAAATTGTTAATGTTAAAATCCTGCAGACTCAATGAACTAAGTGAAGTCTGAGAGAAGAAAATCTCAAGTATAAAATCCAGTTATTAGCCATCATGATCCATCTGTCTCACAGAGTTGTAGCGAGACAACAGAGAAGAAACTGTGAGTGGTTTAAAACAGAGTAATACAAACTTTTCAGTTGTTGTTTATTTGTTGTCATTTCCGATTCTTCATGACCTCATGGACCAGCCCACGCCAGAGCTTCCTATCGGCTGTCACCACCCCCAGCTCCTTCAGAGTCAAGCCAGTCACTTCAAGGATACCATCCATCCATCTTCCCCTTGGTCGGCCCCTCTTCCTTTTTCCTTCCATTTTCCCCAGCATCATTGTCTTCTCTAAGCTTTCCTGTCTTCTCATTATGTGGCCTAAGTACTTCATCTTTGCCTCTAAGATCCTTTCCTCCAATGAGCAGTCAGGCTTTATTTCCTGAAGTATGGACTGGTTGGATTTTCTCACAGACCAAGGTGGTCTCAGAATTTTCCTCCAACACCACAGTTCAAAAGCATCTATCATCCTTCGCTCAACCTTCCTTACAGTCCAACTCTCACATCCATAGGTTACTACGGAGAATACCGTTGCTTTAACTATGTAGATCTTTTCGGTTAGGGATGACATTTGCTTGTAAATTTTCTGCTTGGGACACTATGCCAACAGAACATAGGGTAGAATCAGTGGTGCAAGAAGCAGCAAGCAGACTAATCCACCTACCCATCCCTTTCTTTCTCTCTACCATTCATTTCTTTCATTTCCTTTCTCCTTGTTTATTACTCTTTTGTGGAAGGAATACATCACTCTAGGTAACTACTGCTAGGAGAGACACACACTAGGCTTTCAAGGAACATGAGATCAGTCTGAGGATCACATGCTATTCCCTGATGTTCTAAAGTATTTTGAGTGGTCCTGCTGTAGATTAAAGAGACCACCTTTCACTAAACAATTCATCTGCAATAATAAGCATTTGCCTGTAGACCAGCCTGAGATCTCGTGATAACTGAAATAAAGAAATTGAACTCCATATGTGATCACATCATATGATTTCTATTCCATTGAAAAGTCTTACTTTTGCAATGGTGTGAGTTTATATCGTCATCCCAGCAATAATATCTCATCTACAATTGTGCTGGAAGTGCTGCTTGATATTGCTGTCACCATGCATAGTCTTAAGGATATACCAGAACATTGATTAATGCTTGTTAAATTTAATACATTTTACATATGCCTCAATATTCAGTATAGAATGGTTTGCAAAGTGGAGCCCCCAGTGGCGCAGTGGGTTAAACCCCTGTGCCGGCAGGACTGAAGACCGACAGGTCGCAGGTTAGAAGAGTACGGATGAGCTCCCTCTATCAGCTCCAGCTTGTTATGCGGGGACATGAGAGAAACCTCCCACAAGCATGATAAAATATCAAAACATCCAGGCGTCCCCAGGGCAACGTCTTTGCAGATGGCCAATTCTCTCACACCAGAAGCGACTTGCAGTTTCTCAAGTCACTCCTAACACAACAAAAAAACAAGGTGGATTGTAACTTAATATTGTGATGTGGTTAAGGAATGCTGATTTTAGTGTTTTCTATGTAACGCAATTCAGGGCAGCAATGTGAACTATATGCCTACAACGATGGTTTTGTTTCAGATATATATGACTTGGCTAATAGTCATCAGATATACAAATTAATGGCTTGTCAAATGTAAAATTGATATTCTTTGTGCAAAACTATCAACAACAATATGCTGTGTAGTAGAGGGTCTATTGCTTCTCCTAATACTCTTCCAAATATATTTGAGCAGTTGCCTATATACCATAATGGTATGGCGTAGAGTACTTATTTCAGCAAACTAAGGTCATAATCCTGCTCTCCATAGTTTAACAGATTGTGACTCAGCACCTTAATAGATTAGAGTGTTCAATAATATCCCTGTAAATACTGTTGGAACTCAATTTCCATAAGCTCTTATCAATGGTGAGGGACCATGGGACTTATAGTCTTACACCTGAATAGTTTCTCATCTGTGTAGTAAACAGTGTGAAGAACCCATTTTCTGGTGACTCATAATAAGAACAGAAATATTTTTTGCCTAAATGGCATCACAATAATAAAAATGGAGTAAGAGCAGTGGTTAAGTGGTTAAGGTTGTGGTACAGATCTGCACATCTTTAGCTTCTTTCCATCCTTGCTAGTTATTTAAAGAGCAAAGACATCCTGTATACAACTAGAGGTTTCGTTGAAAACTGACTCTTTCCCAAAGAGGACAGTATTACGACCAAACTGATTGAAAATAGAGTTGCCGTTAGGCACAATGCTTCGCAACCAGTATTTCTCACTAATATTATCAACCAAAAAAGATTGATATAATCTTTCTGGGAAGGTAAGAAGCCCCACAGAGCAAGTTTTCAGAACCACGGAGGGCTTCGGGGCAAATAAGAAGAAAGCACTCTTACCAGAATGAGTGCAGCATTGGATTTAGTTCCTGAAATGGTTACATGTACAGACACAGCTCTGTGCCTTTTATCTTTCTACAGCTTTATGTGAGGAGAGAAAAAAAATCCTCTAATAAATTTTGTGGAACAACACAAAAACAAAGCACTGCAAAAGCAACCCGATTTGATCAATGAAAATAAAACAAAGGTTGGGAGTCAATGTACTTTAAACAAGATGAATATGATTAGGATAGCATCCAGTTCATTTACAAGCAATACTTCCCTCAAACATTTGTATCCGATGTAGCCCTAGTAATGTGCTGACAGTTCATTTTAACTTGTATTCAGATTTCTTAGCAAATTGTAGAATGATAGATTCTAACTTAAGACTCAAACATTTTCAAAGAAGTAGCCATGTTAGTCTCTTGCAGCATAAAGCAAAAAAGGGAGAAAGGGAGAGAAAATAAAATGAGGCAGCATTTTTTATTTTTGCGTGAAATTTTGTGGCTATTAACCCATTCCTTTGATAGCGCATCCAAAAAAGTGGGTTTATATCCATAGAAGTTTATACAATTGATAAAAAAAACTTGCCAGGGTTTGTGACATTTCTCCTCTTTCTTTCTCCTTATTATTTCAGTTTCAAACACCTTCAACTATATGGGAAGCGCTCTGGCCAGAGTATATCAGACTGAGTACAGGAAGTCCCTGAATTACAAACAACTCATAGTTAAGAACAGAGTTGAGATAGGAGAAAGTGAGAGAAATCTACCCCTAGGAAGGGAAATTCACTCCTGAAAGAGTTATCATGGGGGGGAAAGTATCTCAGCTGAAGTTTTATCATTAATCCTTGTTTCCAAGCCACATTTTTTCAAAGTCCCATTATTACAAGGACATAAAGTGAGGGGTTTGGTTTTTTTTTGGTTTTTTGCCGTGTCAGGAGCGTCCTGTTGTGAGAGAATTGGCCGTCTGCAAGGACGTTGCCCAGGGGACGCTCGGATGATTTTTGATGTTTTATCATCCTTGTGGGAGGCTTCTCTCATGTCCCCACATGAGTAGCTGGAGCTGATAGAGGGAGCTCATCCGCCTCTCCCCGGATTCGAACCTGCGACCTGTCAGTCTTCAGTCCTGCCGGCACAGGGCTTTAACCCACTGCGCCACTGGGGGCTCCATAAAGTGAGGTGTAATCTTCTGAACAAAGGCACAGACGGCTAAACAAATACCACAGGGGTGGTTAAATGCTAAAAATTATTTTTATTGGAGTTATGTTTTCAAAATGTACCTGTTCCAACTTACATACAAATTCAACTTAAGAACAAACCTACAGAACCTATTGTCATGACCGCCATCCTGTTGTTCGTATCTTGGGACTGTCTCTATATGGCATCCAGTTCCTTTCTGAAATGTAAGAATCCTAATGATTTGCTCACCAACCCCCAATGGGATGCAAATGGGACTAGCTATCCAAAAATTATTCACAGAACAGCCACAAAAGACTTAGCATTCCTTCACTGGTTAATCGACAAAAGTTCTTCAGCAACCCTTTAAAGATTTTCTCCCTCATGGGAGAACATAGCTTACTTTTGGCTGCATTTATGCTTTTTCAACATCCACAGAATGGTCAAAACGACTTGAAGCCAAAGCTGGTAGATCTCTTCTATTCATTGTTGATATTCTTAAATAAATATTACTTTTTAAAGTTCACATCTCGTGCAGCTTGCCCTATGTTTTCCCAAACAGGTGCCCATTTTGATGGTATTGATTACCTGTCACTGCACAGTCTTTTGTGCTCAGATGCATGCGGCCAGCAAAATACAAGGGTCACAGGAGGGACTCAACAAGGGAATGACTTGCAACATAGGGAATGTGTGGTGGGACCAATTTATGTCCCTCATTCATGACATGCATCGTAGGCATCGATGACCTAACACCAGGTTCACCTGAGACACAGTGATACAATATCATGAACCAGCATGAAGCTGTTGGTTAAAGCTGAGAGAGCCAGACTGAAATAAGCTGCAGGAAGGCTTTCAACAATTCAGTCAACTCTGAAAGCAAAACTTTTCTTCATAACACCTTAGGACTGACTCTTAAAATAATACACAATTGCCAGAGATACACAGTGCTTCATGCATATTACTGCTCACATTAGTAATCCTCACAACACGCATATTACTTCTCACATTCTTGTAGTGGCATATTCCTTCTAATTTGGAAATTTTAACCAAGTAGTTAGTATGGAAGATGCCACTTTGTGCATCAAATCTACTACAATCCACAAGCTTTTGTGGTTTAAAAAATATTAACAACTGATATGGAGATGTGGTCATGTCACAAAAAGTTACAGTCGCAGGCTTAAATTTAGACTCAGATATTAAACTCATCTCAGCCAATTTCTTATTAGATGGAATCGGGAAAGACATCCTATCTGCTTTCATCTCCTTTACATTTCATGAAAATCTTCCCCAAAGTCAATTTCTAAGAGGCTTCATGGAAGAAGGGTGAAAAAAATCATCATAATAATGCTTTTTATTTATTACTTGCCTCTCCTGATGACTCAAAGTCAAACCATATGAACATAAAATATATACAATAACAGCAAAACAACAGCAATCTCCACCATTTTCTTATGAGCAGATTTCTAGTTGGAGATATCTTGGCCCAGCTCTTGGTAATCAATATATTTTTCAGCAAACGGAGACAACCATTTTATACCAGCTTTTTGCCACTATATATTATTGTTGTTAGTAACAGTAGCAGCAGCAAAAGTTATTGTAGGAACTTGTAGGACATTGTGAAGTACAGAATCATTTGTACACCTTTCTATTAATTTTTTATTGAGATAATGCTTATCAGTATTTCCACCTTAAAGTTGGGAGATGAAAGCAGAAGAAAATTGGCTAAAATAGTGAATATCTACTGAAGGCATTCAGTATCTAATCTATTGGTTTCCTTTCCATTCAACTTAGAAGACTCTATAAAACACACACACACAAACACTTGCCTATGCTTCAAAAATGCTCAAATAAATGTGACAATAACATTGGGGACTATACCAGAAGAGAATCCCAAGAAGGACCTGCCCTTTGTGGTTACTTCACAGGCTACACTCATGAGCACTACCAGCTCTCTCCAATGGATAAACACCCCAGATGACTTTTAAGGCTGAGTTGGTTGGTTTTGGGGAAGGTATGTCTTATTCCTGCTTTAATTTAAACATATGCTCTTGGCGAGTTAACTTTGGAAGTGTTTTATACAACTAAGCAAACTTTCAGTATGGGACTCTACCAGGTGGATTCAGCTTACAATTTGGTAAACATTCAAAGAAGGTAGTGAAATAGAATAGCTAAAACAGGGATGCCACACTCATTTTCATTGAGGGTCACATCATCTTTATATGGTTGCCTTCAAAGGACCATGGAATCTATGGAAGGAAAATCAAACTATAATTTTCTTTAACATAATTGTTGGTGGTCTTCAGCTTTTGCCCAAGCTGGGCCACCTGATGTTATTGAATGATAAATCTCTTCACTATGTAACACATTTTTTGTTCCTCAGTTATAAATATCATTTCCTAATTAGTTCTATCATAAAAACAAGGGGAAAGTTTATTAAAATGCTAAAACTTTGTTTTTGTGGGACATCCTGTTATAGTTTTTCAATGACTATCTCATAGAGTCTCAACCAATTCAACTTAGTTTGTGGCAGCCTCAACAATCAAGTTTCTTGAGTACTATAATAACTACTTTCAAAATAAGTACCACACAATTAAACAGGAAATAACACTTTTAAACCAGGAACATTTTTTTCTCTTTTTCAAATTTTGTTACATAATGTTATCTGTCATGCAGACTGGGGATAAAGGGAATACAGGAGTTGTAATCCAGCATCTGGAAGGCCACATGAAATGACATGGCATGCCAAAACTGACCTACAGGTTTTGAGTTTGTCACATGTGAGCAAAAAAGAATGAATAATGTATATTTGTCATCTTACCAGCAGTAATCCAGGAGATGTGGAGGAAGAACTGGGATGTATATGTGTTGCCAATACATTGGATATAGCAATGAAGCTGACCCATGAACACAAGCAGTTAACTATAAATAAAACAAGACAAATAATGGAAATTGAATGATTGAAAAACAGGTCTTAAAATGCAGGATAAATTCCAAAAAAGGAAGTTCATAATACAATTTATAGAGATAAATAAGTGGTATCTGCATAAAATACCAAATCTATGTGAAACAATATAAAACAATACCAACATAATTATCCACTTCTTCTCAAGAATGAGAGTATGCAAAGAAAGGTTCAATTCTCCCCAGTCTTCAAACTTAGCTGCTGTGCTTACATTTCTCTAATACTACAGTGTAATTTATGCTATTTTTCTAATCCAAAGAGTGTGCATGCATGCTTAAGTACATCTTTTTTTGGCAACTGTCATCACACAGGTTCAGAAAGTTATCTTTCTTAGAAGAAGGTGCTTATGGAATATGTACAGAACCAGCAGATTTTTTAATAACCATATACTCTTGTTCAGTTACCATGTAACAGAAGCTCAAGATCATTTACATAAAAATTAAAGCCAACATTTGTAATAGCTAAATGGGACAAGTGGAGATGGAAATCCATTAAACAACATTTCCATGTTGTAATGCATTGAACATATGAAGGAATAAAATGCATACCTAATGTAGATATAGTTTCACAGAGTTTTGGAAATAGCTTTGTGAGGAACAATCACATACAGGTTCACTGTTTCAAGTCAACATGCACAAGACCAGAGCCTAAAGCCACAAAGGGATTGTCCTAGCAACACGGCTTTTAACTCTTTGGTAATTTGACAATATTTAAATATTCAGGGTAAAGAGAAACATGAAGTTTGACGTGGAGAATTTTATGTAGCTTGGACTATATTTTTTGTATATACGCATTACTTGGATTTGATGAGAACGATGCTGGCATTCATTAAAAAGGTAACATGATAGAGGGGAAAAAGTTATTTTGTTTGCCAAATAATGCAGCCCAAATTGTGGATGTATGGTTTCAGACACTGAGAAATGATAATCAGCTACCTTTTTTTTGTCAAAAAGCAATTTTCAGTTTTTGCTGTGTTAAACCTTCTTAAGGAAACAGATTGTGTTTGAGAGGTTCAGAGAGAAAGCAAAGAAAACGACTTAGCTTGCATTTTGATATTTTGATGAACCAAAGTATTTAAACGGCTAGGCTTTGTGTGGTAGATAGAAAGCATCTTTGTGCTCATCAATGTTGATGTGAGAGCTCATACTTCCCACAGCCAATATTTTACCTTTCACCAGACATTTTAATAAACAATAAACTTTATTTGCAAAAATTCCCTCTTTGCTTAAAACTAGACAGAGATCCTACTTCATAGGAATACTCTTCCTCCTCTTTCACAAAGTACTTTAGGAAAGGTCCAATAAAGCAGGACATTTTAGCTTTGCGATTTAGTAATTTTGAGGGCACTGCACATTATAATGGAGCATCAGGACAATGGCTACATGAGGATCATCATGTTGATGATCCTAGGCAGTTTCTCAAGTAAATTAAAGGCTGAAACATTAACTCTAAAGCCAGCAATGAAAATGAGTCAATACTATACATAAAACCACTACAAATAGTTAAAGAGGTAAGTGTTACAAACGGTGCAAAATTTAAGAATAGAGAGAGCAATTAAAGCTATAAATACAACTCTTTAAGAATGGAGAGAGCAATTAAAGCTGTAAATATGACTCTTTCGGTCAGAAGACAGAAAAAGGTGACATATTCCTCCAGAAAAGCAAGACCATGCACAGCTATTTTACAAGTTACGGGAATAAAACAAAATCCTCTTATTTATTTATTTATTTATTTACTTTGCTTATATACCGCTGTATCTCAAGCCCGAAGGCGACTCACAGCGGTTCACAAACAGTAAAAACAGTAGAAACAGCAGTGGTTCCATACAACATATAACAATTGACTTAACACATTATCCATAAATTACCAATAAGCAATTACAATGCACAATTATTACAAAAAACAAACGTACCCAATCTTCTCATCATCCAAGCGTAGTCCAGATTCGTCGTCCATTGTTCCATTCCTATGTTCCATTACCAGATTGTACTAAATTACTCAAACGCCTGCACAAACATCCAGGTCTTCACCTTTTTGCGGAATACCATTAGAGATGGTGCTAGTCTAATGTCCGTAGGAAGGGCATTCCACAGCCGAGGAGCCACCACCGAGAAGGCCCTATCTCTCGTCCCCGCCAGCCGAGCTTGAGAAGCAGGCGGGATCGAGAGCAGGGTCTCCCCGGAAGATCTCAAAGTCCTGGTGGGTTCATAGGCAGAGATGCGGTCAGATAGGTAGCTTGGGCCGGAACCGTTTAGGGCTTTAAAGGTCAACGCCAGCACTTTGAATTCAGCCCGGTAGCAGATCGGTAGCCAGTGGAGTTGGCGCAACAGGGGGGTTGTATGCTCCCTGCGCTCCGCTCCTGTTAAAATCATGGCTGCCGAGCGTTGGACTAGTTGGAGCTTCCGAGCTGTCTTCAAAGGCAACCCCACGTAGAGAGCGTTGCAGTAGTCTAAACGGGATGTAACCAGAGCGTGGACTACCGTGGCCAAGTCAGACTTCCCAAGGTACGGGCGCAGCTGGCGCACAAGCTTTAGCTGTGCAAATGCTCCCCTGGTCACCACCGAAACCTGGGGTTCCAGGCTCAGCGATGATCCTCTTGCACATATTATCAAGTGTTCTTAATTCTGAGAAGCCAAATTATATTAATGGTATAACTTGACCTAGGACAAGATATTATTATTATTATTATTATTATTATTATTATTATTATTAACTTTATTTGTACCCCGCTAGCATCTCCCGAAGGACTCGATGCGGCTTACATAGGCCAAGGCCTCAATAAAACAATAGCATAACAAATGCACAACTTAAAGCAAATCAAAATATTAAAGCAATAACAGAAACAACAAAAACAATACATCATAACACAACAGAACTAGGGCCGGGTCAAATGTAATGGGTACAGATTAAAAAGTGCTGGGTGTGACAGGTGGTATGTCGGATTTTAGGGTAAATGCAGTGTGCAAGCAACCTTAAAACTCTGATAAAGTGCTTCTGGGACATATTGCTGGAGTTTTCCTATTCTGGAAAGGCACATCGGAACAGCCAGGTCTTCAAGCTCTTCCTAAAGACTGCCAACGTAGGGGCTTGTCTGATGTTTTTGGGGAGGGAAGATATTAACTTTTGGGGAGGGAAGATATTTTTGGGAAGATATTAACTTGTACTTGCATCTTTCAATTTACAAGTTCTTTCCATTATAGAAAAAATGCCGGAAACTATCAGAAATACTACATATAGATTACATCTCATTTTTCAAGTCGCCATAAAATGGACACATCAGTCTGTATACAACCAGTTATCTAGTTTGTATTTTCCACTTCTACTTATATCCTATAGTATGTTTCCTTGGGCAAGTATTGACTAGGCCTACTGATTCAATAGATACGTTCCTCTTGGAACTAACAAACAAATTTACGTATCAGAAATAGGCAGGATTTGTTTTACTTTTAGTTTGTGTCAGAATTGAATACTTTGTTCAAAAGGGATATTTCATAGCAAGTTGGTCCTAAGGCACATTATGGCAAGAAGAAGGAGGAGGAGGGGGAGAGGGAGAGGGAGGAGGAGGAGGGAGGAGGAGGAGGAGGGGAGGGAGAGGGAGAGGGGGAGGGGAGAGGGAGAGGGAGGAGGAGGGGGAGAGGGAGAAGGAGAGGGAGGAGGAGGAGGAGAAGGAGGGGAGGAGGGGGGGAGGGAGAGGAGAGGGGGGAGGGAGAGGGAGAGGGAGAGGGAGAGGAAGGAGGAGGAGGGGGAAGGGAGGGAGGAGGAGAGGAGGAGGGGAGGGGGGAGGGAGAGGGAGAGAGGGAGGAGGAGAGGAGGGGGAGGAGGGAGAGGGGGAGAGGGAGGAGGGGGAAGGAGAGGGAGGAGGAGGAGTTGGAGGAGGAGGGAGGTGGGGGGAGGGAGAGGGTGGGGAAGGAGGAGGGAGAGGGGAGGAGAGGGGGGGGAGGAGGAGGAGGAGGAGGAGGGAGAAGGGGGAGGAGAGGGGAGGAGGAGGAGGAGAAGGAGGAGGAGGAGGAGGAGGAGAAGAAGAAGAAGAAAGCGCTACCATAAAGTTTTCCCCTTTACTGCAGTAAGTCATCAATTGATGAAAAATAAAAAAATGTTTCTTCTCCAGACCTAAAAACTGGGAAACTGTTTCATGGGCGATAAAGCCTTGTTCTCACTGTTTCTAACATTCTGGCAGTGACAAATATTGAGACGCCTCCAAAATTGTTGAAGTAACAATAGAATTGCATTCAAATTAGCTTTCCAAAATATAACTTGCCCATTCTTGAAAACAGAGAATTACTATAGTGTTTAGTAGGGATGTGATGCTTAAGTAAAATACTCAGGAGCCCACAGGAAAGCAATAGTTTGTCTCCTGTGATTCCTAGGCCTGTTATTCCCATGAAAGGAGGAAGTTACCAGTTACCAAGCACCTGAACTGAACGGTTTGAATCTGATCAAGGAAGCTCACATACTCCTAACAGATGTTCATACCTAGTGGTTTAAAATGCTTTCATTTAAACAATGATATGAATAGCAAATCCAGGATATCTCAGAGTGCTTTGCTTGCATTTCAGAACTATCCCATGATTTGTATGACACATTTCTGGCATAAATAACCAATAAAGAAAAAGAAGATCTTTTTAAATATACTCTGTGTGTGCGTGTATATATATCAGCTGAAAAACAACAGGCTCCGCTTTTCTGCACTTTATCCTCTTCACCCAGATTAAGCTAGCAGGATTAAATATGGAAAAGAAGAAGTCCCGAAAGCTCCTGAGGGATATCATTAGGGCAAATTGCCAAAGAATGAAACATGAGCCAGTCGGAAGGGGCTGGAAGATGCAGTAATACCAAGGGACTTGAATGTTTGACAGTTGGAGCTTCAGTAATGTGTGAACTGTGGGTTACAGCATCAAGAGACTCTGTTCACTGACACACAGAATGTCACTATTGACCACCGAACTACCCAGGCTTG